GCCACTCCCTACTAGCCTACAAAGTTTCCTTTGAGAAAACAGCTGATGGAACTATCAGCTGTTTTTGTTGTTGTTGTTGTTATTGTTTTTGGTTTTTACCCCCCCTTGAAGGTAACCAGTTGTCTTTTTCTTGCTACTTTTAGGCTTTTCTCTTTGCTTTAACCTTTGCCATTTAATTATGATGTGCCTTGGTGTGGGCTTCTTTGAATTCATCTTGTTTGGGACTCTCTGTATTTCCTGGCTTTCTATGTCTATTTCCTTTGTCAAGTTAGGGAAGTTTTCAGTCATTGTTTCTTCAAATAGGTTCTCAATCCCTTGTTTCCTCTCTTCTTCTTCTGGGGCTCCTATGATGTAAATGTTGTTACACTTGGTGTCCCAGAGATGCCTGAAACGATCTTCAGGGGGGGTTCTCTTTTTATTCTTTTTTTGTTTTTGTTGTTCCAATTGGGTGTTTTCTGCTACCTTGTATTCCAAATTGCTGATTTAATCCTCTGCTTCATCTAATCTGATGTTGATTCCTTCTAGTGCAGCAGTTCTCAACCTGTTGGTCGCGACCCCTTTGGGGTCTAACAACCCTTTCACAGGGGTCGCCTAAGACCATCAGAAAACAAAAAGCTATTTACATTACGATTCATAACAGTAGCAAAATTACAGTTATAGAGTAGCAACGAAAATAATTTTATGGTTGGGGGTCACCACAACATGAGGAACTGTATTAAGGGGTCACAGCATTAGGAAGGTTGAGAACCACTGTTCTAGTGTATTCTTCATTTTAGTTATCATATTCTTTATATCTGACTGGTTCTTTTTTATGGTTTCTGTGTCCTTTATGCTTACTATCTCTTTGTTGAAGTTCTCACTAAGTCCCTCAAGCATTCTTATAACAGTGTTTTGAACTCTGTCTAACCAGTGTTTGCACTCTGTTACTACCATTCTAATCTCTGTTACCCTGAGTTTGGCATTTTTCATTTTTTAGATTCCACATGTAACTGAGATCATGCAATATTTGTCTTTCTGTTCTTGGTTTATTTCACTTAGCATAATGCATTTCAGCTTCATCCATGTTGTCAAAATGGCAAATTTCCTTCTTTTGTAAGGCCTAATAATATTCCAGTGTGTGTGTGTGTGTGTGTGTGTGTGTGTGTGTGTGTGTGTGATAATAGCCATTCCTGACAGGTGTGAGGTGATGTTTCATTGTGGTTTTGAATTCCCTGATTATTAGTGATGTTGAGCATCTTTTCATATACGTTTAGCCATTTGCATTTCTTCTTTGCAAAAATGTCTATTCAGGTCTTGCCCATTTTTTACATTGGATTATTTCTTTTTTTTTATTTTATTTTATATTTTGCTATTGAGTTTTAAAAATTCCTCATATTTTTTGGATATTAACCCCTTATCAGATATAGGCTTTAGAAACATTCTCTCCTATTCTGTAGATTGCCTTTTTCTTTTGTTAATTGTTTTACATGACTTTTTAGTTTGATGTGGTCCCATTTGTTTTTTTGTCTGGGAAGCTCTTTATCTCTCCTTCAATTTTAAATGACATCCTTGCTGGGTAGAGTGGTCTTGGTTTTAGAGCCTTGCTTTTCATGCCTTTGATGTTAATTGATGTAGTCCCATTTGTTTATTTTTGCTTTTTTTGCCTGTGCTTTTGGTGTCAAATACAAAAATAATTGCTAAGACCATCTAAGGATCTTTCCTTTGTCTTCTTCAGGGAGTTTTATACTTTCAGGTCTTCTATTTAAGTCTTTACTCCGTTTAGACATTGATTTTTGTGCATGTTATGAGTCTAATTTTGTTCTTTTGCATATAGATATTCAATTTTACCAACACCATTTATTGAAGAGACTATTCTTTACCATTTTGTATTCTTGGTGTCTTTGTCAAAAATAGGTAACCATAAAAGTGTGGGTTCATTCTGGGCTCCCTATTCTTTTCCACTCATCTATGTGTCTTTTTTATGCCAGTACCATACTGTTTTGATCACTATAACTTGGTAATTTCATTTGAAATCTGGAAGTTTGATGCCTCCAGTTTTGTTCTTCTTGCTCAAGCTTGCTTTAGCTCTTTGGGGTCTTTTGGGGTTCCATATGAATTTGGGGGTTCTTTTATTTCTGTGAAAAATGCCTTTGGAATTTTGAATGGGTTGCATTGAATTTATAGATTGCTTTGGGTAATTTGGACATTTTAACTATTAATTCTTCCAATCCATGAACACAAAATATCTTTGTATTTATTTGTGTCTTCTTCAATTTCTTTCATCAGTGTTTTGTAGGTTTCAGTGTACAGCTCTTTTATCTCCCTGTTTAAATTTATTTCTGAGCATTTTGTTCTTTTTGATACTATTATGACATTGTTTTCTTAATTTCCTTTTCAGATAGTCATGTATTGATTTTATATCCTGCAACTTTACTGAATTCATTTATTTCGACCGTTTTTTTGGTGGAGACCTTATGATTTTCTGTATATAAGATCATGTCATCTGCAAACAGAACCAATTTTACTTCTTCCTTTCCAATTTAGATGCCTTTTATTTCTTTTTCTTGCCTAATTGATCTGGCGAGGACTTCCAGTATTATGTCGAATAAAAGTGCCTGATTGATCTGGCTAGGACTTCCAGTATTATGTCGAATAAAAGTGTTCCTGATCTGAGAAGAAAAGCCACCAGATTTTCACTATTAAGTATGATATTAGTTGTGAGCTTGTCAAATATGGCCTTTATTATTTTAAAGTACATTCTTCTATACCTAATTTGTTGAGAGTTTTTACATGAAAGGATGTTGAATTTTGTCAAATGCCTTTTCTCCATCTATTGAGATGATCAAAAGATTTTTATCCTTCTATTAATATGGGATATCACATTTATTGATTTGCCTATGTTGAACCATTCTTCCTTCCTTTAATAAAGTTTTATTTTTTTAAAGAATGCAATGACCATTTCCACCAATGCCTTAACTTTAAAGGGCTTTCATTTTGGATACTTGAAAGGCAAATTTGATTTATGGGTAAAATGTATATACTTATGAGAGATCGATAAATCCATAGCTTTTTGAGAATCCATGGGTATATTTTATAAAGTATTTAATACTGCCTTTTCTGAAACCAATTTTAGTCTTTATCTTAAAACCTTTAGAGTTTATAAAATATTTCATACACACTTTTAAAAATTCAATTTTATCCCTTTATAATAAGACATTACTGCTAACAAACACAGTAGTCATTAATTTCTTCTCTTTGGTTGTTGGGGTATAGTCTAGTAAGAATTTAATTCAACCTTTCATTTATTTTTATCAAGCAAATGCTATAACATCAGTGGGAGAATTTTGGAATGCACTTTGGAATCAGTTGGCTCCCAACTAAAGATCATGTAAAATTACACTGATTTTGTTTCTTGATTACAGAAGCAAGACATAGCCATTGTAGAATATTTTGGAATACATTAAATATATTTAAAAAGAAGAGAAAGTCATCCAAAATTTAAGCACATTAACAATAATCACTATTAACATTTTAATGTATTTCCTTAATTTCTTCTTATATACATTTTATATATCTATTAACAGGAACATTTTTGCATTCATATAGCATATATAAAATCTTATATATAGGTATTATATTGTATGTACAGTTTACATTTTTTAACTTAAGAATCAATAATAAATACTTCCAAATATCCATTAACTATTGTTCAATATCTTTTTTATTACTGCATAATATTTCCTTTTATGGACACTATAATTCATTCAACCATTCCTTAATTGGTAGACATTTAGGTTGTTCCAAATTCTTTTAATATTATGAATTCCATCAAGCATAAAACTGATACAATTGAGGTACTACTGAGAGAGAAAAATACAAACATAAACTGATAAACTGAAGCACTACTGAAAGAGGTGAACATCACGGTGATGTGCCAAGTAGACGAGACAGTAAGATCCAACGCAGAGAAACTCCTTAGTGGAAAAACAAGAAGTAAAGGTGAAACTGGTCCCTAGCTGTAGAAACAGAAAGAAAGATGGATATGAAAACTGTTGTGTTAGAACCTTGACAGGACTTGGCAAATAATGGACACTTGTGAGGTATGAGTCAAGAAACACTTCAAAGTTTAATTTGTGTGATGAGGAAAACTAATGCCATAAACAGAAAGTATAAGATTTGGAGGAGGGGCTTGTTTGACGGTAACTTTTAGCATGTTAAGTGTGAGCCGTTGCCTTGGTAACGATGGTCAGCTCAGCAGAATTGAAGCGTTGATGGACTCTCAGGGCTAGAGATGAAAGCGTAAGTCATAAATGAAGAGAGAACTTACTGGCGAACCCATGTGAATAATTGATACATTGGAGGGCAGCTCAGCACAGGTGGAGGAAAATAGTTGAAGTTTTTAGGAATGGCCCATATTTTTATGAAAAGAAAAGCAGTAAGAACCAGTAAGAGAAGAGAGGGGAAGGGAGAGGAAGAATGAATGAGAACTTGGGTAATAGAGTTGTTGAGATCCCAGGAAGGAAGAGAATATCAAGAATAAATTGCTTAATGCTAAGAACCTAAGAACCACAGGCATCTATGCTGAAGACAAGCTACTGAGAGGTTAATTCTAACCTTAAAATTTTCTACCCCCACTGGTGATATGATTCTAAGTCAACCTTAAAGGCACTTGGGAGTAAGTGGGTTGTAACTATGATTTTGAAACTTCGGTGGTAAAAGGAAGGAAAAAATGGGGATATGCATCTGAGTCAGCCTGAGAAGGCGGGGAGTTAGGTAGTGGGGGTGTGTGTGCCTTCATTATGCGGTGCTGCTGCAGCACCTCTGTTCTCCTTCACAGAATGTCTCCTTCCACCAAGTCCTGCCCTTCACCATAAAGCTGCCTAAGAAATAGAAAAGAGTGAATTCATATAAGGCAGCTCACCTTGTTGTCCTGTTTGAAAAAGAGAAACAAAGAAATCTTTTACCTTTTAGAGCTTTCAAAGGGATAATTTATTCAAGGGGGAAAAAAATCTTTTTTTCAGGCAACCACTGAGGAAACTGCACCAAACAGTCAAGAAGATGAGAATGATGGTGAAAAACCAGAAAAAGGGAATACAGAACTTGCCTCATCAGGTTTGTTTCCTAACAGACTCGTTTTAAGGTAAATCATGACATAATGGAAATAGAGTCAAGAATTTCTGCTACTGAGCCATAGAAAGGGAGTCAGGCTCTATAACAGGTGTGGTTGGACTGCCATCTAGAGGCTTCTCGGGGAATTTTTTTTTAAGTGAATATCTTTTGGGGTTGTTATTTACATATTAATTCCAGGAAGATAAAATGCTGTTATAGAATGAGAGCATCACATTTATTCTCGTGGAAATTTTGACCATACGATTTATATTGCTGTAAAAACAGGAGCCCATGATTTTTTGCCACCTGTTTTGTTTTGTTGGGTTTTGGTTTTTTTTGAAAGTGTATCTCCATTATCATAGAGCAGATTATATTTCCCCAAATAAATAATGCTAAAAACTGAGGGCCATATTTTAACACAGCAACAGCAATAGATAAGATAAAAATGTATCATAAAAATAGACACTGAAATGATAAGCTGGTGAATCGTTTGAAAGAATAAAGTAATGCCACAAATATGGACAGTGAGCATGAATAGAGACCCCCGTGTTCCCTAAAGTAATGTTTCCTAATACTTTTAACATAGTTCTTCTTTTGATAAGCGTAAAAACCTCTCACCCTCTTTTCATACCAAATTATTTTTAAATGGCATTTTAAAAGAAATTAAATTTCCTTACTTACTAAAAATTTTAGCATATGCCTTTTCAAACTAGATTGTACCTCTCATTTTGATATGCCCATTCAAGTGGTGACTTTTTCACCCACTCTAGAGTATACCTAATTGTTCTTTATGTATCAGAAAACACTTTCATTTTTCATTTTCATTTCATTATACATTGAATACAAAAGACTTGTATTCATCTTTTGTTATCGGTATATATTGAGTATTGTAATTTTAATACAGTTTTTTTCCTTTCTTAAAATGTGTATACATTTTTTGGCACCCTCTGTATATACCACACAATCCTTAATACATTCCAATTATGAAAATGTGATGTGAAAAAGGAGCATTGACATACACAAGGAAGACTCAGGCTGCCACTCACGTCATTTGGATGGAAATTATCTGTAGATGTTCTCTCTTCCAAACCACCTACATAATATTTCTTGTCAGCATTTTGTTTCATGTAGTGTTATTCACATGTAAACTCTGATTCTTATTAAGAACTTAAGTTTTTATAGTGGGGTTTTTTTGGTGTGTTTTATGTTGCTTGATTTCTTTTATAATATCATGAAAAGCCTACAGAATTCTGACATCTTATGCTCATTTATACTTCCCATCACACAGTAATCCAACTTCTTATAGCCCAGGGCAGGATATGGACTCAGTGTACTCATGGCCTTGCAGGTTAGATGGGTGCTTATATAGTTGTCTTCTTCTAATTTGTGTTTCTGAATAGAAAACTTCATTTCAGAGCCACAGCATTTTACAACAACTGTGACTCGATCCAGCCCGACCGTGGCCTTTGTGGAGTTTTCCTCCAGCCCCCAGCCGAAGAGCGACGTGCCAGAAGAAAAAGACCATAATAAACCGGAAAATGAAATGAGTGGAAAAGTGGAGTTGGTGCTGTCACAAAAGGTGAAGTACATGGTGGATTAAAGCAGCTAAATCCAAAATTATGGCTTCGCATTGCAGTCGGCCACATTGCTATGGCAGTTGTTCATAATGACTTATTTTCTTTCCTACTCTTTTTTCCTTGCTTTAATCTGTACATGTTTATAAGTAAAAATATACTACATATAATTTACATACAAAAAGATATACATATTAGTCCGTTTAGGCTATTATAACAGAATACTATTGTCGCTGTAGGCAGAAAGCGTAGCGCCGAGGCGGGAGAGGGGGACGAAGGGAAGGAGAAACTGCAGGAAAACAAAGGAGGGAGGAGATGAGATCAGTCTTAAGAAAAAGTACAGCAGCCAGACTGGCCAGAACTAGATTTCAGTGGCCGTGAGCAGGTTCTGGATGCCATCTTGTCTCTCAAGGTGAACTTTAGCTAATTATCAGGGTTTATAATATTATTAGCATTGAGGTTACTGTGAAAATCCCCACTCCCTTTGCGGCCATGACAGTTCCAACAGAGCCAAATAAGGACAAAAATCCCTCCTCCTGATGGGGAGGAGTGGTCAGCAAGGACCTGCCTAGAAACACCTATAACACCACCCCTAAATCTTGAATATTTTGTGTCCTCATTTTAGAAATAATAAATTCCTAAGCCTTTTTATTCTTTCGGGCGGTTGCTCTTTTCCAGGCCTGCTTGCTCTCTCTTCTTGAGAGTGCACTGTCCTCCTTTTAATAATAAATCTGCTGCTTGCTTGGCTTATTCGGTGCATCCTTGAATTCTTTCCTATGACAAACACCAAGAACCCATTTTCTGGCGACACCATAGACTGGATGGCTTATAAACAATAGATTTTTATTTCTTAGTTCTGGAGAATGAGAAGTCCAAGAGCAAGACACTAGCAGATTTGGTGTCTGGCGAGGACCCTCTTCCTGATTCACAGATGGCTGTCTACTTGGTGGAAGGGACGAGGGAGCTCTCTGGGATCTCTTTTATAAGGGCACTAATCCCATTCATGAGGGCTCTGCCCTCATAAACTAATCACCCACCAAAGGACCCATTTCTTAATACGATCACCTTCTGGATTTGGATTTCAACATAGGAATTTGGGGGGAACACAAACATTCAGTCTATAGCTATATATTCTTTAAATTTATATTTATAGTGATATATATAAATATCTATCAAGTAATACATGTAAATATATAAAAATGATATATAAATAGAAAACAGAAATAGAAAAAGTTACTGAAACCTACTTATTAGTAACAATTGGTATATATTAATATACATTATTTAAATTTATTTTAAATAATTTTTAATTATGAAGAATTATATACATTTAAAAGAAAAATGTAGGGATGACTGGTTAGCTCAGTTGGTTAAGAGTGTCATGCTGATAACACCAAGGCTGCCGGTTTGATCCCCACATGAGCCACTGTGAGCTGCACCCACCCTGAAAGAGTCAACTATGCCATTATAGCATGAAAGCAATGTGTAACCAATGACTATGGCTGTTCCCCAATAAAATTCTAAAAAAGAAAAATGTAATATAAATATAAGTTATAAAGCTTTGCAGTTACATTTTAGTTTGCTGTGCATAAGCTTGCTTATTTGCAGCTTACTACAGACTCTCTTTCTAATATTTAGCTATTTTATAGCAGCAATAATTCTGAGGCCTCTGGATTTGAATAACAAAGAAATTAGAACATTATTATTCTGATATAATGGGTTTTAAATTCGTGTTTTTATTAAATTTATTTCTTGTTTGGAGTCTTACCTCCTTCATATTAATTTGGTTTGTTTTCAGGCATGAGTTCAAAAGTCTTCATCTTTTATACCAGTTGTTCTCAACCTTGGCTACCCTTTAGAATTAAAAATAATACCAAGCACACAAGTTCAAATAAATGAGAATTTCTGGAGACAGGGCCCACGCATCTGTATTTTTAAAAGCTCCCCAGGTGATTCTAATGGGCCACCAGGATAGAGAATCACTGACTTTCATATTGGCATACTATATGTGATAATATTTCAACTTTAAAAACTAACCCTAAATTTGTGTTTGACTTTAGAATGAAAAATTTACCACTTCTACTTCTGGTTCATCCATAATTTAGTTAACCAATATTGACTGTATACCTACTATGTGTCAGGCACTGTACTAGACACTGGATATTCAACAGTAAACAGACACGGCCCCTGGCCTTAAGGAGCTGAGAGTGCTGTGTCCTTGGTAGAGCCTCAGAAATGCCTATTGCCTTGATGCCTTTGGGAAATTTCAGACTCTATAGCCATTTCCCATTTTTATACATAGAGAATTAAAGAATGGTTTGGAGATCTGAAAGGAATTAGACTGTAGGAAAAACGTTGGGAGCAGGTAGGATTTCCTGTCTTTACAAGTTTTGCCTTATCCACATTACATTCATAACCATTATTATTCTTCCAAATTGACTTTTTGTTTCACTTAAATCCAAACAAAAGGAAAAGTCTATTTCATTGCCAGAATTTTTTTTAATCAAACAAAATTAATATTATAACTAAAAGGTATTCATCTGCATACCTCATCTATGCAACCTCACCTGTGATCCATCTTTGGACCGCCAGTGTCACATCTACCCTACTATGGAAAAAATTGTTTTCAGGAATTCTTTTTTGGGGGGAGGAGCAGGAGCCAGGTATCGAACCACTGTTGCTCAGAGCTCACACTCTTGAGTGAGCTCTTAACCAACTGAGCCACTCAGTTGGCCCTAGGAATCCTTAGCTGTGTGTGTGTGTGTGTGTGTGTGTGTGTGCGCGCGCGCGCGTGCGCGTGTGTGCATGTGTGCGTTCCTGCCTTGAATCCTTTGACCATCTAGTAAACATTATCTCAGAATAATGTTCTTTTTAAAGCATAAAATATACAAGATTACCAAGCTTCCCTTGGTATCAAGTGGTACAAAGTGCATACACTACCTCAATTCTGTTCCGTGGACTCCAGGTTAAGAATTCTACTAGTTGAGGGGCCAGCCGAGTGGCGCATTGGTTGGGAGCTGGCTTGGGGCACCAGAGGGCCCCGGTTCAGATCCCACATGTGAGGGCCCATGGCACTGCCCTCTGCAGCTAAGATGCTGAACAACAGCTCAACCTGGATTCCCCCAATTCCGCAATAAAAATCTTTTAAGAAAAAAAAAAAAAACCTTTAAAAAAAAAAAGGAATTCTACTAATTGATTAGTAAATGAAATAGGTCTTTGAACCCAGTGCTTTTCTCACACCATGTGAATTTTTCCTCTTTCTCCTTTTGCTGTTGTACTATTAGCTCTTAGAGAAAGGGGATTACAGTGGTTGCAACAGCTTTTCTGACTTCACTTGAGAGTGGTACCTTTATAAAACAAAGTGCCCATGTACACAGACTGACCTTTTTACATAGTGGTCATTTTGAGCATTTCTGCTATTAACTGTTTAATTTACAACTGGGCATTATCCAAAACATGTTTTTATCAGACTCAACTATGGAAGAAATGAGGTTAAAATATGAGGGTTGTCAACTTTGGTAAGTCTAGGCCTTAAGCTTTTGCTGCATGTTTAACACTGAAGTTCACTTGGACATCTGGTTGACCTCTGCAATGCAGAATAAAGTGAATAACAGTATTTTCTTCAGGATTCCATTAGGGTTGAATGTGGTATTCATACGAAAAAATAAAATCCTACTGAAAAATTCTAGACATTAAATCATCCTGAGGACCAAATCACAGATGAGCTTATGATGAAACAAACTGCACTATAGCTTCACTTGCCTTATTGGCGGCTGGGAACACAACCACCAGGCAGAGTGAATCAGAGGAAGTCCTGCAAGCAGCTGATACAGCCATGCTCCTCATTTAGATCTTTGCTCGAAGTCTACTGACTTCCATTTTAGACACTAGTTTGGTAATCTGGTTGTTCAGCAATCAGTTGATTAGAAGCAACAAATCAGAAAGAGGGTGCTTCTAGCAAAGGCCTTTCAGATTGAGGAGAAACAAAATAAAATTAAATAGCAACAACAAGAAAATTCTATTTATACAAAGCAAGCCTAAGAATTTTTGAAGCCTGTAATTTTAGACCTATTTACCATGACGACAAGTAATCCAACACGCCTCAAAAATCCCCTAAGGGAATCATTGCTATAGTATTGTTTAATAATGGCTATTTAGAATAATGCTTCTTTGACAATAGGCAAAGTATATTGTCTTTAACGTGCTTTGCATAAATTTGTTGGGAGGGTTGTATAGTGTCTCAAGAATAATGTCCATTAAAAGGAAATATTACTTTAGTATTTAGCACTTACATAGTAAGATTTTTTTTAAATCTCATGTAGAATATCTCACATTCTGACATTATAAATTCAGGAAAAGAATATGTGATTGAGCAATAAGAAAATGAGACAGAGTGATGTATAATCAATCCCAAAGATGGATTATTATTGTTTGGGTTTGGGGAAAAGTGATCATCAAATTTTTATGCTGTCTTTTGGTTTCTCAGAAAAATTGACCTCTATATTAATGTAGAAAAGCATGAAGGGGTCTTGGAGAAGGGGCCAAAATTTCCATTTAAAAGTTAAAAGTTTGGGCTTATTAACTTATGTAACAGCCATGGATTCTTTAATTTTATTTCGCCTGTGCATTTATTAATGGACAATAATTGTCATGTTTGTCTTTTGCTCATGATCCAGGTGGTAAAGCCAAAATCTCCAGAACCAGAAGCAACCCTGACATTTCCATTTCTGGACAAAATGCCTGAAACCAACCAGTCACATTTGCCAAATCTCAATTCTCAAGGTAAAGAGACAGAAATGTTTTATTTTAGTTTTACAGGTTCTGCTGGGCACATCTATAGCAAAATAGTCTTTATTTTAAAGGAAAATTACTTCCTTTCATGTTGATGTTCCTTTAGCCATGGTGTTTGCCACAATCCATGATGGCTGAATTAATAATTTCAGAATGGAAACCCGGGGCTACATTCTTTATTTAGCATAGCCAGGAACTGCAGCTGCCAAGACCATTTTGTCAGCCAGGCACTATAGGCACAATAAAACCTATACAAGTGTTTGATACCTTAAAATAATTTTATTGGTTCCAAAATGTTTTTAAAAATCAATAACTTTAATAAAAATTTTTAGTCCTAATATTATGTCAACTTCATTAATTGTTAATTATCTAGTCTTTATAAAATATCCATTTAATTTGACAATGATTTTGGAAGAAAGATTTTCATACTCTATAATAATTCCTGGGTATGCACAATGATTACTGAGAAATCATTCATGATCATAAATTAAACGTGTTACTCATGACCAAAAATGTTAATCTTTTTAATGTATATATATAATATATATATATGTATGTTTTTTTATGTGTATATGATATATTTTAATATGTTTGGTAAATTTTATATATTTGATATAATGTGGGGAGGGGTAGCCTCTAAAAATATGGGAGAATAGGGCCTATGAAGGTCTTTAAAATGGCACTGACCACTGCAAACTCCCCAAGACCTTTTAGGCCATGTATAGGTTGTGAATTTACCCCTTTACTCTTTACGAACCCAACTTGAATCCCTTTATCCCAGTGAGAAGGCAGGTGCCCTCAACTACAAGAAAGGAGCCTTGGAGATGTGAACAATGGGGGGATGGGTCTTGAGAATTCCAGGATCCATAGGGACCACTGTTTCTTCAAAACACATAGACGAAACCAACAAGTGTTGGCCAGGATGTGGGAAAAAAGGAACGCTCATGCACTGTTGGTGGGATTGCAAATTGGTGCAGCTACTATAGAAATCAGTATGGAGGTTCCTCAAAAACTTAAAAACAGAACTACCTTATGACCCAGCAATTCCACTTCTGGGTATTTATCCAAAGAAGTCCAAGACACTAACTCGAAAAGGTACATGCACCCGTATGTTCATTGCAGAATTATTTACAGTACCCAGGATATGGAAGCAACCTAAATGTCCATCAGTAGACAACTGGATAAAGAAGAGGTGGTACATATATACAATGAAATATTATTCAGCCATAAAAAAAAAGAATGAAATCTTACCATTTGCAACAACATGAGGGTATAAAGCTGCATGAAATAAGTCAGATAGAGAAAGACTAATACCATATGATTTCATTTATATGTAGAACCTAAAAAAACAAAATTCACGAACAAACAAAACAGAAACAGACATATAGATACAGAGGAGAAACTGATATCAGGCTGCCAAATGGGAGGAGGGAAGGAGGACTGGGTGAGAAAGGTGAAGGGATTAAGAAGTATAAATTGGCAGTCATGGGATGTAAAGTACAGGATAGGGAATATAGTCAATAATATTGTAATAAATATGTATGGTGCCAGGTGGGTACTAGACTTAATAGGGAGATCATTTTGTATGTTACATAAATGTCTAACCACTCCGCCATACACCTGAATCTAATATAATATTGAATGCCAACTGTCATTTAAAAAAATAAAAATAAAAAAACACATAGACCACTGGGCTTTACTAGTGCAGTTCTCTTTCTAGATGTGAAAACAGCTGAAGTTCAGGAAAGAACCGTAAGATCTCTTGTTTTTCTTTTTGAATGTGCTTTCCACAGTACATTTATAGATTTATCAATCCAAACAAAGAAAGAGGATGGGCCAGGATGATAGTGGCTGGGGATTTATTTTTACTTTTCTTTTCAAGGATGGGCAGCTTTTTAGGGTAGAACCTGAGGTGGCTTGCGGCTGGGAGATATGTCAGGCTCTCTGTATAGAACAGGAAGTACGTGGGAAGGAATTAATTGGTTCATACACTGATGACCACTAGTTTCTTAATGTGGAAACAAGTTCAATATTGTCTTTAAAACATTTGTTTTAAATTTGACAGTTCTGAAGGGTATTGACAAAAATAAAGCCTCATACCTGGGCCAGCAATTGGCCATATTTAGACAGATTTTAATTCTGACCTACCGTATTTGCCGGCGTATAAGACGACTGGGCGTATAAGACGACCCCCTAACATTTCCACTCAAAATACAGAGTTTGTTATATACTCGCCGTATAAGACTACCCCCTCTTCCGCACACCTTCCACACACCAAATAAAAGGTAAAACAATATCAGATTTGATTTCAACATTTATATTTATATTCAAATGCTTATGACATGCAGGAAAACTGTCACAAGGCTGTATGTAATCAAACATATACATAAATCGCGATTCGCGATTTTGCGCTATCATACTGGGTGTATGGTCGGCTGTGTGCGATTTTGCGAGTGTGGTAAAATTGCATAACAGCAAAATCGCATAACAGCCGAGCATACACCCAGCAGCGCTGCTGATGCCTGAACGGTATGTGGAGTGAAGTGGGCGGGCATCGGGAGGCCACTATGGCACGGGGCAACCACTATGGGCAGTCTATCTGAAGTGTACCTGGCGTATAAGACGACCCCCCACTTGGAGGCATATTTTTCAGGGCCAAAAAATCGTCTTATACGCCGGCAAATACGGTATTTCTAGGACTTTGTAATTGTACAGATAAATAACATGGAGAAGAAATAGCTATTTTAAGCCATGTTAATTAGCTTTGTTATCTTATACATTTTTACATTACATTACCTGTTGTAAGGCATTTTGATTGTAAAATGTGCTGTTCAATAAGGGACTTAATGTTTTATCTAAGATGAACTGTTAAAAAATAAAATTTCTTAGCACTGCAGCTTTTCAAAAATTATTCTTCAGGATAGGATTATATTTGTCGTACACCTGTTCTACACTCTCTTCTGGTTCACGGACGCTGCAATTACAGCTGCAGGCTGTGGAGACAGAACACCTGGGTTCGAATTCTTAACTCATCTACAAAAGTTCTTACCTGTGCTGCCTTACCCACCAAATTCTCCCTAATCTCTAATCATCACCTGTAAACTGGAAATAATAATAGTACCAATTTCATAAGGGTATTAAAAGAATTAAGTGAAGTAAACCACTAAGAGTTTAGCTCAATACCTGGCTCCAAATAAGTATTAATAGTATAATCTAATAGTTGCAGAAGAGTAGCAGTGGGAGAAGTATAGAGCAAGATGCCAGGCAGAAATAAACTATTCTTACATTCTTCCCTTAACACCAGGGTGTTTATATTGTGGAGATAGGGCTTTAAGCAGTAATTTTCAAACAAGAGTATGTGTCAGGATAGCCTGAAGGGCGTGTTAAAACACAGGTGGTTTGCCCCACCCCTGCAGTGTCTCACTGAGTAGGTCTGGGCTGGAACCACAGTATTTGCATTACTAACAAGTTCCCAGAGGGGTGCTGATGCTGTAGACCCAGGGACCACACTGGGAGAGCCACTGGCTTCAAGTATGTGTTTAAATCGTGCACCGAAGACATCACCGATAAATATAAAAATAGCAGTAAAACTTGTTTGGTGTGTATAAATCCCTATCTTTCAAGAAGCAAAAGGCCTCTAATAAATGTAACCTGAAAAGACATGAATTGTCTTTAATTGTGGGAGGACAAGGACAGTGTAGAGCTTTGCCCAAATTTAAAGTCTGCACATTTAAGTGACGAGTGTGAGGTCGCACATCAAGTCCAAAGAAGCTGTAGGGTTAGGATCGGGAACCCCCCCAGACGGTGCTATTTCTCCCATTTCCATAAAGTGACCTGTTGACAGACGGACCTAACAGGCCACTGAAGAGATACTGGTGGGCCCTAAAATGTCCCACAGACTTCTCTTAAATGCACACGCATGCATCGTCTTTAAATACTCTGAAAACATTCACAAAATACATTTAAAGATGACAAATTTACTTTTCTCAACTGTCTCCCAGCGGTAGAAAGATATCTCAAATTGGCATTTCAGAAAAATATGTGCACATTTTAAAAACTGATGTCTTCATTTGCATGGAGAATGATGACAGATGAGCAGAGCACGAGTTTAAGGATGCAAATGAGCTTCTGTCTGCTTGATGCCATCGCATTACAGACAGACATATGCGCATCCCTTGTCGCACATATATATAACTTCTGCCACAGACTTGCATACATAACCATTATAAAGTATATAAGGTAATAATTGAACTCATCTCTTCTGTCTTTTATACTTTTCTAGTGTTCTCCAAAAGCAATGTAAACTGTGCATGTTGCTTTTTCATAGCATATCATCCTATTATTTTGAGGTTCAACATTTTAGCAATATCACCATTATATGTGAGCCTATAAAATATCACCTAGCACCAAAGAAGACAGACAATAGCATAAACTGTCTCATTTCTATTGACTTTTGTCTGTGTCTTCAGGTTTTGTATGTGTTTTATTGAAATATGTTGTACTTTAGATTCTCTCACTCTCAATTCTTATGTAGCTAAACCTGGACTTGAACTTGGGAGCATTGGTTCTATTCAATTCTCACTCCCGTTTTCATGATTTTCTGTTTGTTCTATTCTGCCATCTGATCTAGAGTCACCTGGCACTGCCAGCGTTCCGCTGAGAGTTCAGAACTCTTGGCGACGTTCCCAGTTTTTCTCCCAGTCAGGTAAAATGCATACTGGATAGCTGTACTTCTTTTGTGCAAAAATCCATGTTGTGGGCAACCAATAATATCTGGTATTTTTCTTCATTTCTGATTTCAGAAAAAAAATGCTTGTTTCTGGCACACAGTTAGCAAAGAGCTAGTTCTTCGATATCAGTACCACTTATACTAAAATTGGAAGGAAATTCACAGAATTTTACTTTGATTTTGAAAATCCAAAGAAATAATAATATTCGTCTTTCTTTATTGTCCTCTTTTTTCTTTTTAAAATAAAAATTAGAAGCATTTACCAGGAACTGGTAATGGTTCTCTTGTTAACTGTGCCACTTTCTTTACTTCCTGGATATCTGGCCTCTCTCTGTATGATACTTCTCCAAGTCAGACAGTGAGGGACCTGACCTGTCAATCAAGCCAGACTACAAGGTGCATTAAAAACCAGCACTAATAGGAATAAATTTTGCTTCCTATAGTCTAGTACCTGTTGCTAATTGATGTGATCAATCATGTTACACTGGTCATAACCTCTTTTGGTGATGGGTACAAACTGCTTCAGGGGTCTGCTTTATTATGATTTTCTAATGCTCTGGCTTACAAAAAAAAAGTGGTTTGAAGCTGACATAGGAACCACACTCCCCTGAGAGGATCAAAGAGAAATACAATAAGAAGCCACTCACATTGTCATCTTTTCTTTCTTTCTTTCTGTACAGTGGATTCTCCAAGCAGTGAAAAGTCACCTGTAACCACACCTGTAAGTAACTCATGTTAAGGAAAAAGATCATGCATTTAGTGTGATTTTAATTTATAAGGTATTTGATTTCCTTAAAGGTATTTATAAGGTATTTTGATTCAACCAAAAATGGCCTCCAAACAATTGATTGTAAAAGAATAATTGAAAGTCGTGTATAGTGCTGTCAGGTAAGTTATAAAGAAAAACATGGGTTATCATTGTATGGGGTTGTGATCATGCCTGAAAACAAAATGGTGAGTCAGGAAAGTAAAACCTAAAAGAAGCAATTAAACTGAATGTGACAATAAGAATTAGTATTAAAAAAATGCACCTTCTGTAGGCATTCAAACTCGTTTTTTTAAATGAGGACAGTACTTAACCGTCGTGTACTTTTGGCCATAGGGCCCAGCCTGGACTCTCTTTCTGGGAGACCTAAGCTGTCTTTGTTATACTCCATGTCACAATTAGCATCTTACATAATAGCATCTGTACATTTAGTTTTCAATGTTTTATTTCAATGAAATAAAGCATTTGCTAATTAAAATGCCAAGATGCAACACTGGAAAGTCCTTGCTGCTGAATTTTATCTGAACAGTCTCTGCAGACCTGACTCCTCTATAAACTGGGTGTTTCCAGTGCTGGGCCTGCCACCCTTCTTTGCCCTCTGAAATTCCCACTGGACTTGTAGACTTCCTGTGTGGCACATTCAACTGTAGCATTTCCCTGAGCCCCCTAGGCGCAGCCACATAATCACTGGTACACCTTTGATTCCAGATTTACTAACCATATGACCCTGAAGGTATTATGTGACATCTCTGAACCTTGTCTTCCTTGGCTATACAATGAGATGAGAATGCCTTCCTTTCAGGATGTTGTGAGCCTTAATTGAAATAATTATTCGGAAGCCTCTAGCACAGTGCCTGATACGTGAAAGAACCCTCCCCGGTGGCTAATCCAAGAGACCAACCATAGCCAATCCCAATTCTTCTCTCTAAGGAAATTGTCTCCTTTGGGAATTCCTAAGTGCCTGTGCAGAATGGAGTACGGACCCATCATGTCACATAGCCCTCACTGTCTTCCAGAATTAGCAACCATCTGTGGAGGCTGCTTCAGCCAACACTGGGAATCTTGAGTTTCCTGGAAGCTGGATGGGAACCTCCAGAAGGAACACAAAGCGGGCATTCGTGGCACAGATCTAAAGAGTAGAGCCTAACCTATTGATTTCCATTTTAAACTACGTGGGAACAACAATGTCATGTAACCCCTGGGAAGGAGTGGAGAGGAAGGGTACCCTAAAAAGATACATTCTTATTTCTGGTTTATGGAAAATAGAACAAGAAAGAGACAAATTACTGACCTATGTAAGTGAATTCTCTGAAAATACCCACCCAAATATGACACTCTTTCAGTGATAAATAGCCCTTCATAAAATAGAATAGTAAAAGAAATTTTAAAAATAAGGGAAGATTGAAGAGGATGTAAGCATCTGATTATGCTGACCTCAATAGACTCAGGCCATTTTTGGTCAGACTTGGAATGCCTTAAGCCATAGGATCAGGGTCTGTGAAGGGGAGAGAAGGAAATGCATTACCCAGCAATGAAGTCCATTCATTTATTCAGCAAACATTTACTGAAAGCCTAAAAGGGCAAGGTCTTGGGATACACACATAGGGGGATAAAGGGCTCTCTGTGCTCTTGAAGAACCCCTAAGCCAAAGAAAGATGCAGATCTGTACACAGATAAATTATAGAACAAAGTGAGCAGAATGCTCTCCATTCCAACTTTCTTCAGCACCTTTTATATCTCTTTTATAATACTCTTTTAGGATAGTTATCCCACTGTCTTCTGGTGATCATTTATATACTGGCACCCCCACACCCCATAACTCCATGCCCTCATCCCACAGCACACGCTCAGTTAGTTGTAAACTCCACAAGGCCGGGGTTCTCAGCCCACTGGTATATCCACCTGGCCCATATAAAGTGCCCAGCAAATAATAGCCAAAGAGCACAATCACTGACTACCCTTTTCCTCTTGTTTTTAACGCTAGTATCTTCCTCTTTACTTTCCACTGAAAAATGCTCACTTTTTTTTTCCTCTCTTGCTTTTTAACAAATAGTCTCTATTTTCTTCTGAGCTGAGTCCTCCTATCCTACACCTCCTCCTATCTGCTTACTCCTTACTTGACTTATTCTCACAATTACTACCTAGTGAAATCTGAAAATTAAATCATTCCTAATTGTTGCTCTTATTTTCCTACTAGTGGACTTTCCTCATTGCGTTTCCTATGGCCTTATTCACATAACCACACCGTTTTTCCTCAAAAGACAAAGAAGGGCCATGCTCCTGAGAGAGGTTCTGAACATTTCAGCTGCTTGCAAGTCTTCAGAAAATGTTGGATGGAGCCAACATCCAACATTATTCATCCAATAGAATTTCCCACCTTCAGTTCACACTTGGATGACATTTTCTTTTGATTATATGCAATTAAATAGTTTTCCGCTTGCATAACTTGTCCCAAGAGTGGCATATGGGAAGTACATTTCCTCACCTTATTTGCTCCCCTTTCTTTGACTTTTTGTGGGCATCGTGGCCATCCCAACCATTTTCAATAACCACAGAAAGAGTACCAATTGAGGCCCACATTTCATATGTCTAAATATATTAAAGTTATAAATATTTATAAAGTTTTAAATCAAGCAATGTCCATGGCCTCACCTTCGTTCTTAGCCTGGAGACGCTGCCCTGGGCCAGCCTCAGGGGTCATGCACCTAGGTGGTAGCACAGGTCTGTGGGGGAGCAGGGCAGAAGGTGGGCAGAAGGTGGGTATCTTGGGGAGTAACTGGACCCATCTAAACCTGGAAGTGGACTGGCCCTTCCCTGTTCCCCAGGCAGCCAGGGTAGGTAGATTCTGCCCGCTCCCAAACCCGCCACAAGCTCCCCCCTTCTCCCTCTTGACTCGCTTTTTCTCTCAAGACTCCCAGGCAGTTCCAAGTATCTCCCAAAACTACCCCATCAGAGGGAAGGGAGGAAGCACAATAATGGGGGAACCTGGTTTGCCTTGACACCTTTTCTAGGTGATGGGGAGGCCAGATTTAAACATAGCAAATCGCCCTCTCCTTTAATGGTTTCCCAAGGACCGGCTATAATTTTTCTTCCCTTCTCCAACCCCCTAACCCTCTCAATCTCATAATCTGTAACCTGGGTGCCCATTTTGGTTCATGCATCCTTCTCCCATTATTCCTGTTCTCTCACTTGGTTCCCAAACTCACAAAGAAAACAACAACAACAACAAAAAAAAACCTTTCTTAAAAGAAAAAAAAAGCCTTTGGGTTTGAATGTTATGCGAGTCCCAGAGCAAGGACTCCCTGTTGTCTGGATCTCAGGTGATACTGGTGGTCACTGGTGAGTTAAATAAGCCACTTTGGAGAAAGCTGGCGTGGAAAAGCAATAGCAATACAAAAGATTACCTAGTTCTATAGTGCAATAAACATCACTTCTTACAAAATGCAGTTCTGCTGAAATAAGCATTCCCATTTGCTTGGATCCAGGATCAATATGCAGAATGAGTATCTAACGCTCCAGAGCGTGAATACATTTAAGAAATCACTTCTAAAAGAAATGAAGCAAAAGCCTTCCCATGCCAGGGGTTAATTACTTCGTGTTTTCATTAGCTCCAAAAAGGTTCATAGAATCATATCAGCCTCTTGGAAGTCAACCAAAGAGGGACTAAGATTAAAAAGTGGTTTCTGCCAACAGAGAGAACCTTCAGATATGTGAAGGCTCCTGCTTCTACATGTCCGGGTTCCAGGTCATAGGCTAACATGACCCTTGCCCTCGTCTGGCCTTGAGGACAGGGCTCAATTCTGATCACGCTTTTATTTTCTAAGCAGTTTAAGTTCTGGGCTTGGGACCCAGAAGAGGAGCGCCGGCGGCAAGAAAAATGGCAACAGGAGCAGGAACGTTTGCTCCAGGTAGGACTTGGTTGGCTGCTTATTTTTTTTCCTTTTAGATGATGCCCTCCCAATTTCTGTTGTATTACATAGATTTTTAGCACAGGAAACGCCTGGAATTGGATTCTTCCCAGAAGTTAGTGAGTCTAAGTTAGTTCATTTTGTGTCTGTGCAACACAATGCCCTGTGTCTAATTCCTCTTACCAGAAGTTACATAGATGAACAGAAGAAAAAGGCATTTCACTTAAAAAAAAAAAACCCTCCAAGTATTGATCAAATATTGATTAAGGACCAACCCAACCATTCACCACCTCCTTAGTTGCCAATCACATTCCAGCCCAAGTTGCACTGGGAATGAATTATCAAAAAGCTTTCTGATAGCATATGTGTGAAATAAAATTCAGCCTGAACCTTTTCCTTAAGTAGAAACGTTTGCTCCATCTTTGAGTAAAAGCTGCTAATTTTCAATTCTAGAAAAATTCTGGGAGTAAACTTATCATGTTCCTTCTTGTTTCATGCTAGTTTTGTGAGTAACAGGGCTTCAGAAAGTAACCTAATAACCTTAGGTACTAATATATGCCGGGTACTTGGGAAGTGCCAGTTTAATTCTCATAAAATCCTTCAAAGTGTGTCTTATTAGCCCCAGTTTGCACTTGAAGAAACTAAGGCTCAGAAAAGTCAAATTAAATGCCCAAGATGACACAGCTAATAAGGATTGAGCCTGGTTTCAAATCCATGTCTGGGTGACTTTAAAACTCATGTCTTTTCCACTGTACCCCCAATACTACTAATTTTACCCCAAAAATCATAAATGAAACAAATTAAATCTCATTAATTTTTATGGCTTTCTGCTGCTGTGTAGACAGCAATGCTTAATACAAATTTATTTTACTTTTTAAAAAATCTTTTTGTTCTAATCCTTTTGCCTGAATTCCCATGGGCAGGGAACAGGGGTCAGTTTAGATAGATAACCATTTGTAGTGTGGCTTTAGGTCTGACAGTTAAGTTTGACACTTTTCAAACTTGCATAGAGGTAAGCCTTCAATATCAAAATGTTAATAAGAACCAGATTCAGCAAAGTCCCAGAGCTGCTGGGACTTTTAGGTCCATTGGGAGATCCCAGCCCAGCCCTGGACATCTGCTCTTCTCTTGGAAATCAGATGCCCATTTCCCAGATAAACGGTGAACAGCCAAGAGTCAGAAATTCCACAAAGTAAAGACGACAGGCATGTGTGCTTCCCATGGTGCAACTCTCTTTTACACCCAGAAATGTGGCATGGTTACAGGTGCAGGCATATGTATTGTTCCTGTCCCACTGCATTGTCACCCAGTGTGGTAGCACAGTGGGCTTTAGGGCAAGGTATTGGTGGGGAACAGAGGGTGGGGTTTGGGGGCAGTCCAGACTTTTTACTCCCTGCAAGGTATTTGTTGGGAAGAAAGGGTGGTGGGTTGGGGTGGGGGGAGCACAGACGTACATCTTTCACTCCCTGTATTACCATTACTAATGCATCCTGTCAGTGAGGGGAGCTCATGATGTGAGCCCTTGGAACCAATAAACCTAAAAAGCTTTGCTTGTTTTTCAGCTTTTGTGAAGTTTTGAGGTCTGTTTTCTCTATTCTGAAAAGCCCGTGAAGTCCCTCTCTAAAATTTTACAATATTCGGTTTTGATAACAAAATTCTTACCTGGAATTGAAAGCCTGCCATGGGCTGACCAACCATGGTTTTGCCAGAGCATTAATAAAAACACCAGGCTCCAGACAATCCCAATAAAGCCCTTTGCTCCTAAGATACTGCCAGAACAGGTAATACCTAGAGGAATTCTCAGTGCCTTCCCCAGACAGATAGAAGCACAGACTTGTTTTAGCCACAGAGAGAGAACTGGCAATAATCAGCCTAAATTATTTGACTGTGTGTGGTACACTTCAGTGATTCCTTTGTCTCTGTCATGTCAGGGATGCCATTCCCAAGGCATCTAGGGGTGTCAGTTCCCATTTTAGGCGTTACTTTTCATCTCTATTTATTCATTTCTCCTAGTCAGCTGTCAGGGACTCTAGTCACATTTTTAAAGCCATTCTTACTCAAAGTATTTTATTTTTTCCCCCATAAGTGGTGACTAGTATCATATTGTTTCTGAAAACAATAATGGCAGTTCTGATATTGAAGTCTTCTAATGGGCTGTTTAAAAGCTACTCTTAATTCAGAAGTTACTTAAAGCTAGGAAGATTCCATTTTGGGAGAATGGCTACAAGCAAAGAGTAATTCAGCTACTCATCTAATTATCATCTTGTCCACTTTGGACCTTTCTGCAAGGTTTTTCACCTTGTATTAAATTCTCCCAGCAGCCATGTAGTTCTAGTAGTGGAATGGCAAAACTCATCTCCGAAGGACCCAGTAAAAATGAACTATGTTTTAGCCTACCTCCTAGGACAAAGCCAAGTTAAGGAAGATTTTAGAATCTTTCAATCTTTTCATCTCTTTCCATAAACAAGTGTCTACTCATATATTTGAAGAGCAATTCTATAAAACACCAACAGCAGAAAATACCGTTTTCCGTTGGATTTTTAGGTTCCTAACTTGTTTGAGTACCACAAAATAATGTTCCCCTTGTGTTGCATGAATGGATCAAATTCAGAATGTTGCAAGAAGAAATCTGACAACATATTGCCCCTGGTGGCTTGGAGGTGGGGAAGAGTCCCAGTGATGCCTGCAGGGGTTTGTTCATAACAACTTATGGAAATTTCATAACAGGAGAGATACCAGAAGGAGCAGGACAAGCTGAAAGAAGAGTGGGAAAAGGCCCAAAAGGAGGTGGAAGAAGAAGAACGCAGATACTATGAGGAGGTAGGAAAATCCCAAGAAGGAACTTGACCTTGTAGACCTAATTCCTCAGTCTAGCAGCACTTTTTGTGTCTGTGGTATGTGTATGCATATGGCTGTGTCTGATGCTCTGACTCAGCACAGCCCATAAACCTCTTTAAAAGAGTCATATCCTATAGGCTCTAAAAGACCACAATTTCCCCAAATTTAGTTTGTGATAAGCGTGTGTTGAGTCATGATCAAGGGAGACAATATAATTGTATCTGTTCTCTAGTCAGAGTCAGATTCTTGATTTATTCTAGAGAAATGAAATGAAAGTATCTATTTTTTGTGTGTCTATCTAAAGCAAGTATGCTTGGTAGTAGTGAATTAATTTTATGAGGATAACTTTGATATCAAAGCCAAATGAATCCTGACCACGGCATTCACTATATGGTACTAAAGAGATTTGGAGGGGAGGAGAATTTGGTTTTGCTTGTTTCATTTTTCTTAGATGAACAAACCAGACCACATTAGAAAATTTGAAGGGAGCTACATTTTATGTATAGTATCTAAAATTTAAGATTAATATTGTTGTGAATTTTATCTTCAACTATAATTTTTGTGCATATTCTGATCCCTAATAGCATTCCTAATTAGACTTCTTAAATCACATTAAAGAATTAATTTGCAAAGACTTATTTTTTTCTATTAAATTAAATGCTAATTTGTAAATCATTGCCCATAGAGAGTGTTATCTGATTTATGTGTATTCTTATAAAATAAGACCTTTTTTTTAATTCCCTGCTTGTTTACATATAATCCTGATGTTGTTTTCCTAAAGTTCCTTAATAAAATTTTTCTCTTGACAAATAATGATTTTTTTTTTTTGCTTTCATTAATTGCTGTCCCTCCTCTTAGGAGCGCAAAATAATTGAAGACACTGTGGTTCCATTTACTATTTCTTCAAGTTCTGCAGACCAGCTATCTACATCCTCCTCTGTGACTGAAGGCAGTGGAACAGTGGTGAGACCATAGATAAAAAGCGATTTATGAAGTAAACCTAAATAGAAGTACAAAGCCACGAGGCCAAGTTTTCCACCAGTTTAAATCCAGGACTGGCTATTTCCCTAAAATCATGTCAGCTACTGCATGGCTATTGGACGCCACGGTATCGTCACTGCCATGGCCAAACCCTAGAGGCATTTCCCAAGGAGCAGTAAAATCATTTCTGAGGCCATATCTGCCCCCACAGGCTGGCAACCAGTCTCTCTGTGCTGGCTGGCAAGGTCCGGATTAGTGAGCCATGTGTTGGAATGTGCTTCTTAGTGTCCATCATTCATTCACTCAATAGATATGTATTTCTCTATGCCATCCCATGCATCCCTGTGCACTGGATGATAACACCGTGATGCCAACAATAGGCTTCCCACCAGCCTCCATAAAAGTTGCTTCTAACCCATACTTAAAATTCCACATGAAATTTACATGTGTCTTCAAGGTCTGGAGAGAGCCCAGAAAGCCTGCTCTACCTCCATATCTGCCAAATAAGGTCACAGAGATAGTGGACAGAAGTCATACCAAGACCTGGATAGTCTATAATCGGCATTTAAAAAAAAAATAACTAGGGCCGGCCAAGTGGCGCAATGATTAAGAACTGGCTTGGGGTGCCAGAGGGCCCCGGTTCGGATCCCACATATGAGGGCCAGTGACACTGCCCTCCACAGCTAAGATGCTGAACAACAGCTCGACCTGGAGCT